TTGAAAAAATGCGTTTCTTAAATTCACTTCCGGTATCGACCGGAAGTATTGACGACACACGAAAAGGAGATTCTGCAACGCTATAAGTCACGAACTATCATCTCCAATTAATCTTCAGTTCACATCTTTAGCAGTTTTCGCTATTAAGTCAAGACAAAATTGCATTTTAAAATCAATAAATTGTCCATATCTCACGACCGGAAGTGACGTCATAAAAACGATCAAAAACCTATCAAGATCGATTGATAAGCTATTACATATGAAAATTTGATGTAAATCGGCCGAGCAGTTTTCGAGAAATCGCGTGCACAAAATCGGTTGGAAGAATAATAATAATAATAATAATAGAGAAAAAGAAACCGAACGAAAACAATAAGGTCTTCCGTTGGAAACGGAAGACCTTAATAATAGAGAAAAAGAAACCGAACGAAAACAATAAGGTCTTCCGTTGGAAACGGAAGACCTTAAAAAGAAACAGTACAATCTCTATAAGGTCTTCCGTCTGAAACGGAAGACCTTAATAAGAAACAGTAGAATAACTATAAGGTCTTCCGTGAAGACGGAAGACCTTAATAATAAAAAACAGACGAATAACAATAAGGTCTTCCGAAGGAAGTCGGAAGACCTTAATAAGAAACAGTAGAATCACTATAAGGTCTTCCGTAAAGACGAAAGATCTTAATAATGTATAGGACTGGGTCGTACACAGTACCAGTTATATCACATGTATCAGCTGTTTGTCACGTGACTAGCATAAAAAATAGAACTGTTAAGCTGAATGTAGAAAACAAAGATTGTACAAATGCATATGATTGTTTTTGAAGTAAAAGACTGATACACATTAAAAGTTGTTTAATCCCTCTACCCAAAAAGTGCTGGGAGCTAGTTTATGCTGCTTGGCAAGTTCTGAAAATTTTGCCGAAAATGTGTTCTATAGCGGAAATTTCCACTTCGATTAAATTCTGTTAAAAATAAAAATTATGTTATGCAGACCAGCTCCCAGCACTTTTCATTTCAAAATATACACTATATAAGAAATGAATTTTCCTTATAACAGCCTAAAGGAAATAGCCTATGCTCTTGCACTTTTGATGTAAATCACGAATACGCTTTTTGCAATAACAATATTCTATGTACATTCCCTGTCTCTTTGTAGATCCAGTGCTACTAGATAAATTCGTATTCTGTATATATTGCATTAATAACATAGTTTTATTTTACTTTTAATGATGAGATTAAAATTAAAGGATAATTTCATATTTATTTGAGCATTTTTGTAATAATACAACCGTTGAATCTATCTCTCTGGATCACTTGTGCTGCGTCATGTCAAGGCTGGTGACTTCATATTTGACGAGATACTTTCTTCTATTACTCGACGGTACTGTTAACAAGTATTGTAATTTTACATTTTATAACAAATGGATTCAAATTGTGATTTATGCACTGTCAATTTGATTTTTTGTTGCTTGTTAATTTTTTTTCTTGACGTCACAATTAAACTCCATAAACGGTGCAACATGAATGTAAACTCTGAACTTCCTTAACATAGTTGAGATGCTACATTTAAAAATCACCCAGAAAATGTCGACTTTTTAATGCTGTTTCTTTTATATTCGCCATTTTATAGTTCGTCCACTTACAATGGTGCGGAATGCAAAAATTTCTTGTTTAAACTATATATGGAAGTTAAATCTTATAAATCAAATTCAACCAATAAATTTGTTTAAATCTTTTTTGGACAAAAATTTTGAGTTTAACCTATATAATTCCTTTTAACTCTCGAGTCACTATCAATTACTTTTTAATGCGTTTTAGGTCAATGCTTGGAAACTACAGAGGGCAAACTTTTTCCACATATATGTTCCAAATTTGTTTCTGGCTGCCCAGATGTAGGGTTCCGCAGTAACGAAATCTATAAATGTATGGACCATTTTCTTTGATTTTTTTTTTTACTGAAATTCTTACACATATCAAAATACTTTTGATACATGATTTAATTTCATCTTATTTATTTTGATTGACATCAGACCCTGCCTGCCAAAATATTAGTTCAGAGAATGGTTGTTATCTTGCTGATCCATCATGTGCTAACACGTAAGTGTTTGATATTTATTGATCAAATTAGGAATCATCCTGCATGTAGTAAGTATATTCTAATAAATTTATTTTTGTCGAATAGAACCAGGGAAATATCTAACGAAGGAACACCAGAAACAAATTTCACTGAGTTTACAACAGATCATGTGATAGACAACACAATAGCAATGGATATTGACACAACCACATACCCAGAAGACGACTCAGCACATATAGGGGCAATACTGGGAAGTCTTGTGGTTGTATTGACTCTTATTCTCCTGCTGATATTAGTGAGGGTTGTGTGGAAAAGAATGCAAACACAGAGAAAACAAGAAAACGATGAATCTTCAAGTATGACTTTTCCTTGAGGTTTTTAGTTTATTACCGGAAGTTTCTTCCTTACTGTAATGAATAGATAATTTTTAAATTTGGCAAACAAAAGGAATTTTTAATTTCTAATTTTATTTCTTCAGTTATATTAAAATATGAAATTTTTGAAAGAATAGTAAATATATAAGATTATGAAAAAAAATTATATTTTTTTAAGTTGAAAGAAAAACATTATTGAAAGAAGCAGGAGAAGTCCAAGGTAATTTTTAATCATTAGAATAATAGGTTAATATTTTAGAGAAATTGTTTAACATGCATGTATATGCATTTAATTGTATGTAATATAAGGTATTATAGATGTATACGAATTTTAGTATGATAATCCACAGTAGCAGTTAATGTTTTGGAAATGGGAAAAAAGATAAATAAATTTAAAAAGAAAGTTTAAAATGATATTAATGGAATCTTCTTCACTTAGGGACAATAAAAAAAGAAGAAACGGACGTCAAAAATGAACAAAAGAACAGGGATTATGATGCCCATATAGTTGGTGTCAAAAGTAAACCAAAAGAAAGAAAACATTTTATCAAGGAGGTTAGCTTTAGTAGTGAATCAAAGGTGACAGATACTGGTGTCAAAGAGGCCGGTCTTCAAAATGAACCAGAGGAGAATGAGCTTGTTTTCACAGAAACTGATGCCAATAGTGAACTAGAGGGAAGAGAGTATAGTGTCATAGAAACTAATGTCAAAAGTGAACCAGAGGAGAGCGAGCATGATGTACAGGATGATTCCACAAGTAGGAATATATATTAGAGATGATCAAAAAGTTTGCAAACTCTCTCTATAATAAAAAAATACCACAATTTAGATCAGAATGAAATTTGGCACATATATAGCTATACATATGTTTAGGACTTTATCTCTATTCTACCATGTCTACTAAAATCGCTTAAATACGGCTGATCGTTTCCTCTAGAGAGAAACAAATTAGGTCACCATTTCTCGATTACGCTATTCCATTTAACACCAGAGGTAAATTTTTTTTTGATTACCTGTGAATAGAATGCAGACGATTTGAGCTTTTGTTACATTAAAATTAGCCTTTGCCTTTTAAAATTACAAATTCTTTCGTAATATATATTGATCAGTTATAATGAATGTACAATAACAAAATCATGTTCCTGTTTTACTACTTTATTCGGACTAAAATCATGTTGTTCAAATGGGGTGTCCGTGGAATAGCCCTGCTTAGCTATGAAAACCGACATTCATCAGCAACGTTATGCAATTTGCAGTGTTTATACTGCAAAAGACGACACATCGATGCGGTCTAAACTAGTAATTCATTCTACAGCCAAACGTTCATTTGAGTTGTTCAGATTTAATACGTGTTTCTGATCTGATAATTTTTTATGATTTATTGGAGAATAATGTCTGTGCCTTTTCTTTGATCTTTGCAATAATCCTTATAGAATATGACATACATGTACACTGTATACATTTATTATGGTTTGATAAGAAATCTATCAATACACATTAAGACAAATAATAAGTTATGTTAACTGGACAATTCAATGTTAAATTGATTTTGTGTCTATGTTATTCATGTATTACTTTTCTCTCGTAGTGGAAAACTTGGGTGATTATGATCTGTGGAGGACAAATATATCAGGTGAGTATATATATAAATACTGTCCGTCTGTCTAGCTGTCTGTCTGTCCTTCCGTCCGATCGCATTTTTTTAATTTCTTGGTTTACGGTTCCGCCGACCATATTTTTTTAAAGAAATAAAATAAAAATTTTAGATTATTTTCATTAAGTCTCCCAACTCTATTAAACAAAATAACCCAAAAAATGTAAATAAAATATGTTATAAATCTAAGAATTTATCTTTTTAAATTATTTAGAGGAGAAATTGTTAAATATATTCCCCTTAAAAGCCTTTTGAACATGTACAGCAGCCGTTATTAAAATTTAAGTGATGCAATACATCTGGCGATGTTTTGTAAATAGTTATTAAGTTTACTTTCATGCACTTTAGACACTAGTTGATTAAAGTAAATAACAGTTATCATGACAGTTGCAATTGGTAATGAACTTATCGTTCCATCTTTGCATAACTGTGATTACTAATGTTTATACGAGGTTTGATCCAAAAGTAATGTCACAACTTCGATAAAATTGTTATAAATCGACGTAAAACAACAAAATTATACACGATAAAAGCCTTATTTATTTCAACTCAGACCTGAAAAATTCAAAGGAATATGATGTACACTTTCCAAGTTATCGGATTTTAAACAATATGCGTTTGTGGTACTCGCCGCACCTAAATATAACGTCATATGACGGATACGTGTCCTCATACTTTTAAGCGTTTCCCTTTCGTTTCATTAAAAAAATATTTGTGATTCGCAAACACTTTCACCAACTTCACTTTCTTTAAGAATTCTCAGTACCATTATACACTCACTCTTTTCATAATTAAACCCTCTGTCAAATTTTTTTGAACAGTAGCATGAGGCAAACTTAAAAATTCACACGTCACTCTATCCGTCTGTGTTTTTTGACAACGTCAGACACCATTGAACGTTTACGTCCGATCTCCTATCTTTCAGATTTCTTGTCCTCTGCTGATCATTCAGTGACCCATCATCGGCCTAAAATTGCTGAAACCATCTATAAAGAAGTCTCTTATTTACATTCTTTATTCTGTGAGTCTAATTGATTAACGTAACTCTCGCTAGTGAAGATTCCCATATTTTGAAGCGAAAATGCATTACAACTCGTCGAGCCGTTTTTTTCCCCAAATCGACATTCCCATTGTTCAATTCAAGAGAGTAAAACAACAATGTTTATGATCACAAATACCAATGCCGTCATTTAATTTTCAATTAAAGACTAGAAAATGACTTGAATTGTGTCTTTTTGAAAATAAAATGAGATTTGGTGTTTTTAGTGTCTTTTAAATGTGTTTGTATATTTCATTCTAAGAAAAAAATCACTTTAAAATGTGACGTCCAGCTGTGACGCGGCGACACCCCCTATGCTTTATATTTTAAACATCTATAAAATAAATTTAAATAAACATTATTAAATGAAAATTTCAATCTTTATTAGATTTGTATTTGTGCATCTTTTGGTATATTGTATTTGATAATATGACGCCAAATATAAAAGATATGGACACTGTGACATTACTTTTGGATCAACCCTCGTATTCAGGGTTGGACTAATACCCCCAAAACGCGTAAATTTCCAATCATTCATTTTGTCTCATTTTAAATACAGTGTAATCAAGAACAGTTTTCTTTCATTTGTTTAAAATTGTGTGGTAACTATTTTTGTTACACTAGTACTTCAGTATAATTAAACCACATAGTATAGATATCTTTTAATAGCTTGTTAAAGAGAAAAGTGAAGTATACCATTTTTTTAACCTTAGCTGATCCTTGAAATTGTAGTAGTTTCGATTCATTATTTACTTAAACAAATTGTTTCAACAAGTAGCAAATGCTTTGAATGCATGTATCTTTATTCTTGAAAACAGGAAATATGGTATGGCACATCATAGAAGAAGAAGTGTCTGAGTGGTATTAATACTCATCATAACATAATTTTATAATATTGTTGCTTCCTCTCTTTTTTTTTGGGGGGGGGGGGGGGGGGGGGGTGGGGTCTTGAAATTGCATGTCTGTCATAAAAACACAAAAACTTCATTTTTTGATTTTTTATTTCTCCGACCGACCCTAATTGTTGGGGAAAAAATCCCTAAACCGAGAAATTTAAAAAAAATGTGGCCTAGCTGTCCTCCTGTCTCTCTGGTTGTCAGCATGTCCCACTTGGTTTTCCGCACTTTTTTCTAAACACTTGCAAATATCGAGCTGGATTTGTTGGTATGTGAGTGTAAGTCCGTCTGTCTAGCTCTCTGTTTGTCCTTCCGTCCGTTCGCTTAGCCGTCCTTCCGTCTGTCTGTCTGTCAGTCTGTCCCACTTGGTTTTCCGCACTTTTTTTCGCAACACTTGCAGATATTGAGAAGGAGTTTGATGGTATGTGAGTATATTTTGACGAGTAACAGATCAAGTTTGAATTTCGTTCCGTATCATTGATTTTTGACGGAAGTATTGCATTTTTAATAGTTGGGATTGTGATTTGGTTATTGATGCACTAAATTAATATTCCAAACTAGCTTCTATCCTACAGAGAAAAGGGGAACCCAGAAGGGGACATGAATTGCTGATGCAATAATCTCAGAATCCTTGTTTATATTGATTTTTTCATCACATATCATTGACAACTCTACTGCACTTCAAAATCAATGCATGAAATGTAATATAAAATGAAGTTTGACAAAAACCCTTGATACAGCAAGTGTGTTATTTAGCTTATTGAACATCTGTACAGTTACGTTAAATAACACCTTGTAATATACATGATCCTTTAAAATGCAAATAATTAATTTATCAATTTAATTCAAATTAATGTTTCCTTTTGTTAAAAAGAGTTGCCATTAGTAAAAAAAATGATTTTTGCTTATTTAGATATCTTTAAAGGAACCTAATGAAATATCTTCTATGGAATTTGTTAAAAGTTCCTCATGAGTGACATTAATTTTCCTCATGAGCGTACCTAAATTAAACCATCTATTAATTACAATACCAAATCCAAATGAAGAAATCTTAGATAATTTAACACAGCAGGTGTTTAAATTTGTATGGGGGGTCAAAAAGTGATAAAATAAAAGGTGTTGTTGCAACGCAGCACCAGACATTTGGAGGCCTTAACATGGTAAATCTTTAAAAAAAATTATACTTTCTCTAAAATGTTCATGGATTCAAAGAATTATTTAAGGAATTACTGTCTAGTTTTGAGAGTATGCCAGGGCAAAACAATAGTGGGAAACATGGGATAATTTGCATAACGGGCAAAGCCCGTTATGCTAAAATTATCCCATGTTTCCCACAATTCTTGATGTCCCTGGCATACTCTCAAAACTAGACAGTGATTCCTTATATTTTCATTTTTTAATTTGTTTTTGTAAGCGTCCAATGTTACTAGATTTGAAATACACAAGACTTTCATCATACTTAACATTGGCTGACCTTTGACGTCAATTTTTACTTTAAAAAATAGTTCCAAAAAGCACGAAACAAATTAAATGATTTTTTAATTACTGTATTCAAACATTGACATTTATGAAATAAGCAACAATAGAATTATAAATTGTGAACAAAGTAATCTTGTTAATTGTAATGATAAATACGTGACCTAGATAATAGATTTAGCGGAAATATAAACACGTGTAAGCTAATTCTACGCCGCAATGTTGAAAGTGAGAGTACAGTTGATAAAACGGGAGCTGGTCAGGAAACTGGTCTGCGTTGATGATAGAAACACGGAGGAGGATGAGTTGTCGGAATTAAATGACTGAGTGACGTTGTCAGATGATGGCATGGCTATAGCGATTTGTCGGTCGGAATTAAATGACTGAGGGACGATGTCGGATGACACTGAGGCGATTTGTCGACATGATTCAGTGTTGTCGGAAGTGTTCTCATTCTTGGCCTCGGTGATGGTTGATGGTTAATGTTGCGCTGGCAATTTGCTTTTGATCCGAAGATAGCTCCCTGCAATAACTCCGGATTGAAGCCTCATTACTATGACCGGATATATACATGATGTTGCGCGCTTCAAACCCAGCATCATTCATGGTTTGGATTGCTGTTGCTCGGAGGCTGTGTGCTGTGTACCGTTGACATTCTGCCATTTTGCAAATATCAGGTAAGAAATTTACAAATGCTTTCTGGGAAAGAGAGTGAGTTGTATACCAAAGTTCTTGATCGGGATTCGAAATTGCCTCTCTAACACATTTGTTAAACAGATTTGTAGCAGTTATAGGAGTCTTTGATAGGAAGAACTTCAATATTTGAACTGGGCCAATTTTTGATTGTGTTTCGTACATTCGTTTGTCAGCCATCATCTCATGTTTGTCGAGTCCACCATCGTAGTTTTTTTTTACTGTTTTGGTTCGTGAGTTAGACAGACATAGGTCAAGCCATTTTCGTCGGTTTTGAATTCGAACGAGTCCCTTTTAAGTTGGTGGTGAAATTCAAGTCCTCGCGATATAAAGTGAATTGCTATGGTACACCACATTGCCAAGCGCAGATTTATTGGTGAGGAACATGCAGTCTCTAGAAAGGATGAGATTTTTTTTAGATCAGGTTTGGGAATTATTTCCTTGTGTTTTGTGGGGCGAGATTTTCCCTCTGTCATCTTTTGTTTTAGGAGGCCAGTCAAGCATTTGTTTGCCATTTTGAAAGTTTTATCATTGACAATATCTATATCACTTCTCAGATCTGATAACCGACTGTTAATTGCTGCACGAATGCCTTTCAAAGTATTTTTATGTTACTCTTCATTTGGTGTTTTGGCTTTGCTAGGTCTAGCTTCACAGTAGAACAGTTGAAGTTTAGAGGCTAATTCTTCAGCGCTTACTGATCATGATGAAAGGTCAATGTTGTCATTGAAAGTTTCCAAATGCCAATCTACAATACATGTACATGCATTATGTTACCTCGTTACCTTTTATTGTTTTATTTTTCTATATTGTTATAATATTTTTTGTATATTTATTTTTTTATTTGCTTATTATTTGTTTTTTTTTAATTTTTAAAAAAGTGAATTGATGTTTTATTTGTGATCCCTTTTTTTACATGTAGATCTATTTATACTACAATCTGCACATGTATTATGTTTATAAATATGTATTCAACAATCTGCAGAATAAATAACTTATAATCTAATATTTTGATGCCAAATTTGGTGTGTTTTTTGGTGTTCTTGGATTGAGTCATTTCTTGATAAGTTTTTATCTGCTTCTCTGTAACTTTTCTAAATCTATAACTTGTACTTGGCATTTCAGGGGGAGGCAAACCAGGATCTGCAGGCTGCTGAAGATCCATTTGCAGTGGAGTTTGAGATAGACGTGGTATAAGGTCCGAGGCATTAATGGAAGCAGGAAGATGGTCATCTCCTTCATCAACAAAGGGATCCATACCACGTATACCATGGTCAGAGGGCTCTGGTTTCAGTTCAGCTGGAACTAGCTCGGATTTGTCACCAGATATTAGTGAAAGCAATAACTCCGCATCTTCATCGGATAACTCTGGTCGATCAATGACTGGGAGAAAACACTAAATTTTCCATAGGACTTGTCAGGCTCCATGCTTATTGACTGTGTTTTTGGAAGTGATGGGGAGTTGCAGAAGACTGTATGATTTTAGCAGACGTTCAACAGAATTACTTAATATATTTAAATGAAACCAGTAATCTACTTAAAGTTCAACATTTTTTTCTATAATTCATTTTTTATTTTATTTGTGAAAAAAAAAATATTATATCTTATTACTTTGTAAATACATTAAACAAAACAACTATATTTTTCTTCAGTGTATTCATATGCCAGTCATATACTGCAAGTTTGAAATTTGACCTTTCAGTAGTATTTTAATAGAGAAATTTACATGCCACAGGTATCACAGTGAAATTAACAAGATTCACTTTTGTATTGTTTATCAGAGGGAAAACAATTGGAAATGGAAATATTAAAGGAAATCACTCATGTTTGAGTATTTTAAAATAGTTTATAGACAAGATGTTGTGGAAAAGATTTTGATATCTGTAATCACTGATAATTGTTTTGACAAGGCAAATCTTATACATTCTGAAATTTTGTCAACCCCAGTGTGGCTAAACTCTTGTATCAAAGTGAATAAAAAGAATTTTTTTTTAAAGAATGGTACAAAAATGGTGTAAAAATTATTGATGATATTTTTTTTAGATGTCATTAGATCATTTTTATCTAGAGAGAATTTTGTGGAAAAAAAACCAGCATTCATCATGTAGGTTTTATGCAGTATAACAACATTATCAGTGCTATTTCAAAGTTTTTAAAAGATACAAAATTCTCTAGGGTTGGTTTTTCAAAGCTGCAGCGTCATTTTTTTCCCATTGTTATACAAAAAATTAATATTGATGGATAAATGTTCAAACATGTTTATAAAATTATTAACATAAAGAAAGTAAAGCAAACTGGTTTTTCAAAATGGAATTCAGAAATGCTTTGAAAAGGATATCAAGAAATAGAATTGAGATATGTTTTCATGTGTGCTTTAAGGTATCTTCAAATTCAGCTGTCCAATGGCTACAATTTAGAATCTTGCATTGAATACTACCTGTGAAACCATACTGCACAGTCTCTTCATGTGTAAAGATGTATTGCATGTTTGGAATGATCTTCGTCTACATATTTATAATTATACATCAAAACGTGTAGGTTTTAATATTCAAAATTTAATCTTTAGAGAGTTATCATTGTTAAAAAAATGTCATAAATTTTGTAATTTTAAAAAGTAGTATAGTAGGATTAACCCTGTTTCCATCCATTGTACTCCCCTCTTTCATAGAAATTTTTAGTAAAAGATGTAAGTGTCCCCCCCCAGCAGGATTTGAGGGGAGAGCGAACCGCTTAAGGAAAGATGTTCATTAAAAAAAGACGAAAGGGAATTCTGCTGACAATCTTTTTTTTTGTCTTGTTTTATTTTATTATGTTAATGTCAATAACTTGACCATATTGCAACAAAAAGAAAGGAGGGGGGTTATGTCGTGGACTATAAATTTAACACGTTTGAAATGAAATTGGAAACACTAAGATGCATATGTTAAATCTGCAATATTAGAATATATATGCATTTAAGTGAAACCTGTTATATTAAAAAATGTTAATATAAAGGCCCTTTTTTAGATTCAGAAATAATAGCTTAAAGAAAAATTGTTGATATAAAATGTTGAACATTCACTCGAGGCATGCATTGTTAACATAAAAAACACTCCTCTATTTCATCTTTTCTGCACAACAGTAATGCAATTCATCGATACCAGATTAATACATTTTGAAGCGATTTTAGGTGTTAGAAACAATCCATTTATACAATATGTACACGTAGTAACTATAAGATACATGTATGATAAATATATATTAAAACCACAATAACAATTTGACTGAAATTTAGGGACAAACTTATTGATAATAATTTGTAACATTTTTCAGATCATTTTTCCAAACTGACTGAAGACGAGGTGTTTGTGTTATTCTGTTTTCTGTGTTCTGACTCCGGTCCTCCTGACTTCACGGACACAGAATGGCTGGACATGCTTAATGAGATACGAAAGGACATGTACGATAATGAGAATCCTGTAACACGTGATAAAGCACAGCAGACTCTGGACAGACTGAAGTCACGTGATTACCTCTGGGTAAATCAGGACAAGATAACGAAGGACACAGAGGTTGAGACAATGTATAAGATAGCATCATTAAACAGCCATATACCATTCCTTTACTGTAGTTATAACACAGTCAGTGTTTACCTGAGATCACGCGGATACAACAGAAAACCTGGAGAGAAGTGTATCATTAGTGATGACAGTGTCCTTGATGCCTTTCTGGTACGCCGTCTACAGATGAACTTACTGACTCATGTCATCATGGAGGACATAGATATATATCATTGGATATACCTCATATGTAAGTCAGTGAAAAAAAATATAATGATTTTTGAGTTTAAAAAATGATTATAATGATTTTTTTTTTATAATTCTGAAGGCTGATATAATGATATATAATATTTCATGACTTTTAAATGTTGTTAATTTTATTCAACTTTAAGGTAGAACCTATGTCGGAAAAGTCTTTGTCACAAGATTTTCAAACTTTTCAAAATGAAAAATTAGCATTTCTTATCAATCAGTCAAAAGCACATATCATGTTTCCTTGTTAACAATTGAAGTGCAGCCTGTGAAACTTGGAATGGTTATTACAAACTTCGACTTCACATTTTCAGTTATTTTTAGGGGTACTTGTCATAAAGAGAATATGAAAAATCTAAAAAAAAAATACTTATTAAAACATCGCTGTTCGTAGACTTTATAAACTAAACAGTATTAAACAGTATTTCTCAAAAATAAATTCTTTTCTATTCAATTGAAATACAAAGTAAGTCCACATTCTTAAAAAATGTAGGCAAATGAATTCTGTTATTTTTAGTAAATTTTCCACCCTAAATTTGTAAATATTTTTCAGAAGGCTTTGTCAGAATGTTTTCAATCTTTCATATGACGAAGAACGTACCAAAATGATTCTAAAAAGTTATTAAAGTATTTACCTTTCCCCTCAAACTAACGAGAAGTAGTTTATTTACCGATGTTACTTTTCTTGACCTTTTTGCACTTACACAGGGTTTAATTCTTAAGAGGCAGTCCACCGAAAAACCAGGCAGTATTGTATTGATAGGCGGCACATCGAATGTGACGAATATTTGATATTTCATTGAAAACAATATCAATGTAGCCCAAATGGAATAATGTAATCGAAGATTTGTTTTATAATTGCTTATTTAGTAAAATATCCTTTTCTTCATGTTCTTGAATTCCCCAATATAAACCATTGAATTTAGGTCAGAAACGAAGAACTGTAACTTCCAATACATTTTAAACATGACTATAATTCACACTGAACTAAATCAAGAAATATTTCATCTTTCTGTTTTAAAAATAAAATTGGTGGGAAAAACATTTTTGAATTAGTTTCCTAGCAAAATATGTAGACATCTTTATGAAATTTTGCAGTGCAAGAGTTATCTCCCGTGGCATCGGTAAATCTGCTACACACCTTACTATCGGAATCTTAGTAAACAAAAAAAAAAAAAAAAAGAAAAAAAAATAGAATCGATACACTAAACAAAATTATTAAACAAAAAATAACTACTTTATTTTCAAAATAGAACTCATTTTCGCCTTCAAACGTAATATTTGGATAAAAATGTGCTGTATTATTCAGGTTGAATCCACGTTTCCATTGATGTATCAGTGACGTCACATACCTGACTAATACTGCGTCACAATCAAATAGTTACAAGATTTCCAGAAAAGTTTGTAAATTCTTTGCGTAAAAGTGCAAGGGAAAATAATTAAAAATAAGTAATTTCTCCTTTTCTGTTCAATTACTCTACACAGTGCATTATCAAAAATGTTAAATAATATTTTATATCTAAATACATGTTTTCAATACTAGAATATGCACAAAAATAATAGATTTTTTATAGTGTTTAGGTTTATTATGTAATTGGGATGTAAAAGTTTTTTTTTCTTCTGATTATCAAGGAATCGTGAATATTTTAGATTTACGCAAAATTTAATTTAACGAAGTTGAGATGTTTACTTCATGATATTTGTAAAATCTTTACTATATTTATCTATGCAGTCAAATAAAAATAAACAATCAGCGGTACGATTAAAAATATAAAACAAAAAACCCTAAAAAATAAGTTACAATAAGAATATTACGGCTGAACTCCCAACATCAATTTGACACTAAAACGGATGATGGTTCAGTGAAACGTTTATGTTTTATTATAATTATGACATGTATTATTTTTTTAATATAATCTGGAGATCGAAATATTAACATACTAACGTTTAATATGGAGTTAAAATATGTGGCTATGTTGGCCAATTCTAAAATGTTTTTATATTCATGAAACCCGTTTTTGAAAAAAAATGATGCCATGATGCCGCCTTGCCGCCCCCCCCCCTCCCCCCCTCCCCCCCCCCCGCAGCTTTTTGCTTGCGATTTATGGGCTCTTAAATATGATGTATATGAAAAAAAAAATTTTATTTACATGAAATAAAATTTTGTAAAAGAGGAATATATAGGAGAAAAGGCTAAACAGATGACAGGTTGAAAAAACTTGGATAAACCCTAGACTGTACACATAAAAATATTTTCTGTATTTACGCTGTAGGTACGTGCAAGAATAATTTCCCCACTAATAGAATTTTACTCCTTATTTATTCCTGAGAAAATATTAATAAAAGAAAAAAAAAATTACTTGGAAATAAGATATTTAATTAAGCTAAGCTGTCTTCTCTAAGTTGTTGAATAATGCATGTACAAATCTTTTTTTTTTTAAATACCGAGTATCAAGAAATAAAACGTTTTACATGTACACTGTAATCATGTACGTAAAAGACATTAGGAATTTAAATATATACATTTGAACATATGGACAAACCATTTAAAACATTTACTGACTGAAAAGAAACAAAAGATAGACATATTATTTTTCTGGTAAATTAAAATTAAGAACCAAGTTTAGGACCTAATTTCACGGTAAAAAACATTGCCGATTGAAATAAAACCGACCCCAATCGAAAATAATTCAAAATTATAAAGTTATCAAACTAAAGGCACCTATAAGACCAAGCTCCAGACAGCTCAGTATTACGTTACGCTACAACTCCATATAATCAGTGGCGTTATTCGTAGGGCACGAAAGTAGTCCCGGAGAATCGACACTGTATGGAGTTTGCTATAAGACATTAATAAAAATAAATAAAGTAAATTTTGAACTATGTTACAACAAAAGAGCCAAATTTAACAATACAATTATAGTATTTTCTTCTTTATATAATTCCGATCGGGATCGGTTTTATTTGGGAAAAATCATACATAATAAGTAAGTTTGACTTCTTTTATTTCTCTCAATATACCCGTTCCCATCAATTTTATGAAGTGACTCATTTGTATTCATAATAACATGAGGAAAAAATTCTGTCATAGTAATGTATTGGATTTTATAACGTATCAAAAATCGAATACTGAAATTAAAAAAGTTACTTGTTAAACTCAATTTTGGACCACATTATTTTTTTCTAAAGAAATATAATAAAACATTGTATTTTTTATACCCTAATGTTGACCTTTTTGCACTTAAAATTAGGCATTTACCAAAAATAGGAATAAAGGACCACTAAAATTTTTTTTGATGTTGTCATGTGTAAACACTTGCATTAAGAAGTCTACGTGCAAAAAATAATTAAAATCCATGACATGCCGTGTCCCACCTATTGCCTGGTTTTTCGGTGGACTGCCTCTTAAATGACTGTTTGGGGTTACTTTCAGATTTACAGTGTGAATATTTATCAAGAATTGAATTTTTCTACTTTAAAAGATCATATTTTGATAGATAATTTTTAATCTAACACCAACCATGAAAAATAATTAATACATAATAAAACAAATAACTATGAAAAGGAATGAACATCATGATAAACATTAAAAAAAAATTATACACAATCTTCAACATATCTTTGACTCAAGACACATCAATTTTATAAAGATACTATACTCCAAAGTTGGCAACTAAATTTTTTTTTTAGGATTTTTGCATTTCCTAAAAATAGTTGCATACCATTTACAAGTTATCACAATGTTATTTCATTACATGATAAAGTCTTGTCCACTTTAGGTCAGAAAAGGTGCCTGCAGATTTCTCTAAATTGAGAAATGTATTTTAAAAGTCATTTAGCTTTATAATCAAAAATATATAAATTGATTATAGGTATTAAGAGTATTTTGGCATGATTTAAAATTGAATACCGTGAATTTTGAAATGCTTCTTTTACTACAATTTCAATTGAAGCTTTAAAGTATGGGAAAAAAGTAACATTTGTAACCGGAAGTAGAACTCTTCAGTGTATAAATTACCAAAGTTACTAGCCAACTTGGCTTAAAGGAGTAAACTAGCTCCAGTTATAAATGATCAACCCAGGTATGGGGATTTCTGAACTATGGTCAACGCTAAATGAAAACACAGTTGTAAGTTTTATCAATTTAATAAAGTGAGAATTTAACCTTTGTAAATGATAACAAATAATAAATAATGATCAAAATTTAACAAACAGAAAAGTCTTTGAAAATGGCACAGGATAAATAAAGCTTTATCAAAAAATGTAATTTAATCTGATAAATGAATCTCAATAATCTCAATGAATAATCTTAATAGATAAACAAGTTGTTGTTGAAGAAAATGAAATAGAAAATGGGAGGAATGTGGCAAAACTATGAAAAATAATTTATATCCCTATTGGGCTTCCATACTTTTTCAAAAATCTTATGACTACTATCAACACTCTAGAGTTGAATTGAAAATATCAATGCTAATTCTACACTGTAGGCTCTAAAAATAACTGACCCAGAAAATAAACAATACCCAAAAATAAATAATAAATAGTGGTTCTAGAAAATAAACCTGTTATCTACATATCCCTAGAGCAGACTGGACTTGGAAAGGGGAAACTAAATTTACTTTAAATACCCTACATCTTAACTGTTTCCTAACATGTGAAAAACGTGAAACTAAATCTAAGCTAAGACCTAGAGAACTGTTAAACCATGAGGTTTTCTTAGCCCGCTAAGTAACATTGCTCATAAACCATGAGGTTTTCTTAGCACAGAAAAGAGGAACTAACCATGAGGTTGTGTTCCCCAACCCAAGTGAAGAAAACTACACGAACACGGGTTTAAATACCCTAGCTAGGCCCAAAATAAAAGCCAATGACTATCAAAGATCCTAAAGCTAAGTTAACCAATCAGAACGCAGCTATCAAAAGTACTACGGAAAGACTGCCAACATGGATGACACTTCCTGTTTAAAAAATAAAACATGTGGAATGTCAACTCATGTCCTAACTTATAAAAGACTAATAATAAAGGGGTTTTACTTAAGTAACAACTGAAAACATAAGGTAAATAGAATTATCAGACTGAAATATCAGCAGATACTTGTAAAATAGGAATTACGAAACGATGGCTATGAAATGAAAATCTAAACCACTACACATTAAATTGATTATGACATCATAATGGATCTGGCACAGGCTAAACTCATGATGTCATACGATGTAGGTTCTACATTAAGGCGCTTTCACGTGCTATAATCTGAAGATACATCCAAAAGTTTTGCCAATATAACATATCAATGGTTATTTTAATCGAACTCATTCCTGATTTATTTTACCAACATGTTTTAAATGTATATTTTATTCAAGATTAAATATTGAGTTTTATGCGACATTTGTCTTTTTTACAGTGGCTGTTCCAGAAAATATAGTAAAGGATAGTAAAGATAAAAGAGAAAAATATTTAATTGATCTAAGAACAGAAGGAGAGCCTCTACATGTTAGTGGAAGATCGCAGAACAGTGCAGATCACGTGACGTGGCTCTGGAGATACAAGTATGACGCGGGACCAGCAATCGTGAGATCCTGTATAGGCCTCCATCCACACTGGGACATTTATATCATTGACAACAAAGCTTACAGAAAACCAAGTAAAAAGGATTACATTTAAAATTGTACAAGATTATATATGGCAGGCGGGGATCTGAAAAAAAAAATCAAGAAGATGGGGGGGGGGTCGATAAGGAAAAGAGTTATAACGTATTTTACATATATACATGTATTTGAATAACTCTAGGGTACAGGATTGAGTATGCATTTTTTTTTAGGTTGATCAAAAGTTTTTGAAAAAAAAAGAGAATAAAGAATTAAGTACGTTACTTATTATACGGAGGCCCACTATTTTCCGTAATTTAATACACAGGTTTACCAAATTATAAAGTCTGTGTGCATATACTAGAAGATTGGTTGTTTTAAAATATGGGAAGCAAAATTTCCAAACTCCGTTAATTAGACGTATACACCACGTGTAAAGATCCGTTTTTTCCGGAAATTGCTAATTTTTCCAATATTTTAAACAGATATTTCTAAAATTGAAGTAGTGCACATCCCTCGAGCAAAATAAAACATATATATTTCAAAACATTTTGATGAAAGACGGATGAAAACAGGGATAAGATTTTGCTCGAGGAATGTGCAGTATGTTTATTTTGACTTTACATCAGTATTTCCGGTGGCGGATTGAAAGCTCCTTGAGAGGTGTAATTTTATTTATTTTAAATTAAGTCACCATAAGCTCATAAAATGTTAATAAATTAATACTTTATGCATCGGCAATATATATTTATTTTTCATGGTAGTCTATTAGTCATGAAAAATAGCATACAAGCCTGGAAAATATGTAAGGATAATAAGGCAGATTACGATGGACCCTGCGATGTGTAACCTGCATATGTCAAATACTTTGAATAAGGATAAAGAACCAACGAAGACACTAAAATAAAAACAAATGTAAATTTGATTAATGGTATTAGCACAGAAGAAGAAAAAGGGCCTGAATTTTATTTTGGAAACTGAGAAAGTTCAAAGCTACCCGTCAGCAGGTGTGAATAAATTACGTAATAACGCAAATGATGACGTCACAATAGATCCAGTTTGATTTTCTTATAATTTATTTTTTATTTTTTTATTATTTTAAAACACTTACAATAACCCTTTGCAAGATCTGTTCAAAATTATCAATATTCTGTATATATGGTTGCATTCTCGTATAAACGAACATGCATATATTATAACCCCCCACCCTCCACCCCCCACCCCCAGCCAGATGTTTAGTATTAAAAATGATAGTCTGAAAATGTTGATATTTAATTTCACGCTCTATATTTGTTGCTTATTGCATCTCTGGATAAACTTTTGAATGCACCAGCCTTTATTTTAAGAGACTTTTTTTAGCTCACCTGAGCCGAAGGCTCAAGTGAGCTTTTCTGATCACATTTTGTCCGTCGTCCGTCCGTCCGTCTGTCCGTCTGTCCGTCTGTCTGTCCGTGTTTACGAGAGTGCATTTATTGGGTATTTTTCATGCCAAGATTGTACTTATTGGGTACTTTTTGCTTATTGGGTATACCCAATAAGAAGTGTCGCTGAATATGCTTAAAACACCCTAATTGGGTATTTGCAGGTTAGTACCCAACAAAACTTGGACACGACGATTTGGTCCAAAAAAGTGTCCAAAGAAGTGGCTTTCACTGGGTCCACGTGTTTTGTTGTTTCAGTTTTATTTAACTTCAAATTCTGCTCTTAGATTTTGAAATCAACTTCCGTTGATCCTAATCAAGGCAAGATGTTTGATTTTCATGGAAAAAAATATGGCGACTAAAAAACACTTGATGTCAACAAGATTTTCTGATTTGATACAGAAGAAAAGGGCAAATTTATTCGATTAAAACATTTATCGATTGCCGGGTTCTTGTTTAAGGAACAGAAAATAGATTTTAATGTAATTTTGAAAACAATTGTGCACAAAATTAAAATAGATATATCGAAACAATTTAATCCTAAGTTGCACTTGTGTGTATTTTGAATTTTCTCTGTCTTTTTAACTCTCTTGAGGGCGTGGAGTATTTAGTAAATGATCGTATATTGTTAGATAATCTTTAATAAATCGAAAGTGTTTATTATTTAATTTTATATCATAACCAACTAAGTATGTTCTGACAATGTATATTAAAGGGAAATGAAAATTTTAACAATCGTGTGTTCATAAATCAGCTGTAAATTATCGGTTCATGTAGACAGTATTACAATCGCAAAGTGAGTTTAGATGATAATAAATGGGATAATTGACAACAACTAAATAATTGTATGTTGGAAAACTTTTCCCGAGTACCATGAGATTTGGTGCCGAGCGAAGCGAGGGACCAAATCGAATGGCGAGGGAAAAGTTTAACAACATACTTAGTACATGCTTCACACGAGATATTAAGCCCTTTGTGTCTCTGTCTATTTAATTACAAATCTCTGTGTGTTTCTTATTATTCAATCAAGATAAGGATAGTTTGACCCTGACTGTTGCAATTTTGTCAGGCCCAGATGTGATAATTATACCCTCGGGGTAATATCTACCTGTCAGGTGACGGCTACAGTGAGTAGTTTTCAAACACAATACACGTTCATTTCTATAGATTCAAAAATCTCTGTTTGAAGATAGTCAGGTCATTTTGATGGATTTAAGTCAGGAGCATTTTATTTTTGTGGACGTTATTAAACATTTGTTTTTGGTGGTAAAATTGATCAATTTCTCCTGAAACAAAAATTTCCACTTAAAATGAAAAGCAGGAAAAGAAAGGTTTACGGTTGGATATACATGTACACTTTTGAGCAATATGGACGCCCAAGTATTTGAACTTCTTAAAAATGATCATATTTAGACTTTTTACTGTTTCCCAATCAGTCTGTATCTGTTTAATTGGAATCAAAGAATAAATCAAATAGTAATTAAGTAAAATTTTATTGTTCTCACTTCTCAATGCGATAATTCTGATTAAAATACCAATGTAAATGGTAAATCCTAAATATTCAATCAAAATTAACTAGACATTTCTTAGATTTCTCTTTTACTTTTGATTTTAATTAAATTTTTTCATGTTTTTTTTAAATTTTGGCTAAAGTTGAATAATTCAGGAA